TAGTAAATAGAAACACATTTTAAAATGTAACATTTTATTTTTGTTTAAATATTTGTTGGACCTTGTTAAAGTATTTTAGATGGTAATCCTGTTTATTATCATTATTTATTTTTCAGATTGGCTTCTGATGGTCATGTTAATGTTTGTAAGTAACCTTATAAGACAATATGAATTATTATGGAGATTTAAGTGACAGAATGCATTTTGGACAAACGCTACTTTAATGCACACAAGATTACATTAACCCTATGTCTGGGCAAAAGTTGCATACAATGAAATCAGGTTTAGGTTAACTGCCTATTGCTTGTGGTTTTTTAATTAAGTTTCTAACAAACAAACTCAAAGCTATTCTGTATATGATCATAGGTGTTCATAAATTAGTAAGCAGCCTATTTATTGGCGTGGATCATTCTCTCTATACTTCTTGGTTTTAAACTCTGGGCTACTTTAAACTGAATTATGGCCTGGTTAGTGTAAATATAGATTTGGTTTTTAGGCCCACATTATTCTGTGGAGTGCTTATTGCAATATTGTCCCATCAAATACTAAAAGATAGAATATTAGTTTTGGAAGCTTTTTAGAGCAATTCATAATTGCTTCCCACTGAATCCTAAAATGCTACCTACTTTATTTTTCTAGCTGTTCTACACTCCAGCACTGGAGGAAAACACCATTCGGGGGGACACCATGGAGGACACCATGGAGGACAACAACATCACCATCATAAAGGAGGATTCACCTCGGTCAGCCATGTCTCCAAAATGAAGCACCACTCTGGCCATGGGCACCACTGTTAAAGGGTCTAACCATGCCTGTAAATCACGCTTAAAGGACCAATAAACCTAAAATTAAGTTGCCTTGTATTAAAAAATATAATAAAAGAAGGGACAGAGAAAGATGGGGTTTTTTGGTGGCTCTAGAAAGAACAAGTCCAATAAACTTCAGTCTCATAGGTATATAAAAGATATACATTTATTGAACAAATATATACAACTTTTTATATTATATTTTCATTTTGTATACCTCAGAGGAAAATACCTCATGTATTTTCCTCTGAGGTATACGACTTTTTATATTATATTTTCATGCATATGCAATGCTTTTTTTTTTTTTAAACTATATATTTGTTCAATAAATGTATATCTTTTATATACATATGAGACTGAAGTTTATTGGACTTGTTCTTTCTGGAGCCACCAAAAAACCCCATCTTTCTCTGTCTCTTCTTTTATTATAATTTAACCAGGGGTTGGCCTCCAGAAAGGAAGGATCTGTGCATCATAAAACATTTTCGCTTATATTAACAAATAACTGAAAATATATGTTTATACATTCAGAAGCATATGCAGACAGGACATTCGATTTTAAATGTTGATTGTTGGGTAAATGTTTTCCCGTAGAGGTGACTTCTTCCTCAGTAATTCCACTGAAGAATAGAGCAATCAGCCTCTCCTAAGCCTAAAATGGCAGAACAAAGCTGTACTTTACCCTCAATTATATAAGAAATTAGAACACATTATTATATATGATGATTCATTCAGACTGTAAACATTTACATATATTTCTAATTGGTTTACGTTTATGTACGCCAACATTTTATATTTAATGGTCCTGTGAGACTCATACATATATTCATTTTTGCCACAGTTATATATGCTTGCTTATTTAAATCTTACCACAATGCACATCTAAAGATTATTTAGGAAATGGATGGTAGAGACAGTGCAGTCTACTCCTCTAATTACTTATCAGTCCACAGCAAAGATAATTGAAATGTTGTTGTTATTATTATTATTATTATTATTGATATTAATATTATTATTAATAAGAAAAAGAACAACAGAGCTTTAGATAAATATAAAGCCCAGTTAGAAAACAGGATGCTACTTTTAGTCAACAAATAATATGATTTTTTTTTCTAATTTCCCTCTCACATGATTGGGTATATAAAGTGAACACAAGTTCCCCCTATTTGCTATCAATCATTTTGCTAATTGAACATCCTTAATATATGGGCATTTCCCATCTTAAATGCTTTAAAAAAAAGTTATTCCATATTTAAGGATAATCAAAAGACTAAGATCTTCAATCCCACACACACACACACACACAATACTACTGATATACTGCATGGCTACAATGGGTCTGATTCACGTTGGCCACCATCTTTACCCGTGTTGTAATAGTATTCTGCGTGTAACAACTGTCCACAGCTTCTTTAGGCAAGTACAGCTAGGTAATTACATTTCTATTCAAAAGGGACAATGTAATGTATCTGCTGCTGTAAAGATCTTTGTGGTACTTGCGGTATTTTCAGTTTGTATTCCCTGTTTCAGTCAGGCTGTGTATGGTGACATACAGTACCATGAAAAACTTCAAAATGCTCTTTAAAAAGATAAGGGAAATACATAATCACTGTTCTAAACCTTTACCTGTCCAGTACCTTGGCAGATTTTCCTTCTTTAAAGACTTTAAAGCTGTGCCGATATATTTGAATTAATTCAAATTGGTTATTATATGTGTAAGTTACCAATGCTGTGCAACTGTTGAAGTAATTGTCATGTATGGGTGTATGTCAATAAATTTCTCTCTTTCACTCAATTCTGTCTCTTGTTTTGTAAATGGTTTAACTGAAATGTATACATTGAGCAAGCCTAGTATTAGCACCTTTTATTAAAACACAATATTAAAACATTAAATCTCACATAAAAGATCTAACACTATCATCTACCACTGCTTTTTTTTTGTTTTTTGTTTTTAGAGGGCTGGTATTCTTAGATCGCAATATCTTCAGTGAAAGATCATTCTAGGCACTGCTGTCTCTAAGTGCTAGTCTCAGGAGATGTAGGGTGAGATCATTACTCTGCTGCTCTTTGTTCTCCTCAGTGGAGAAGCAGCTGTGCCTGAAGACCTGCAGTGGAAGAATCTCTCTGCTTCTGCTGATTTTTAATAATTACCCCACTAGTGATTAGGTAGACACCTCGGACATCAGATAGCTAATCCCTGCTCCTCTACCAAGATAGCCATCTCCTCACTGTAACACAATGGAGAACAAGCCATGGTAAGTAATACTGGTGACTAGTCCTTTGATCTCTGCTTACCTTTTTGGGCACACCTTCCACAGTACTGATATTCTTTAAGGACTGGTAAGAATAAAATCAACTAGCAACAGAAAGCATGCATTGTCCTTAATTAGTCCAACCAAACACAATTATTGTGCTATTATTTTACATAAAAATTAGCAAACATAAGGAATAAGAAAATATGGCTGTCCACATGCGCATATATTTAAAAAAATAGAAAATAACTAGAAAAAGAGTTTTAAAAATCCTAACACACATGGGTCGGATCATTTCCATTAAAGCTGAACCCAGGCAAACATAAAAAACAAATCAATGCAGTTCTGTATTCATCAGTGCATCATTAAATGTATTTATTTTTTAAAGAAAGAACTGTATTAGCAGTCTGTTGTGCTGCAAAGTTCAGAGAGGGGGAAGGAGAAACAGCACAAGGAGCTGATCAATATAACAGTATAATGAGTTCTTTTAATAAAGACAAGAGTGATATCAACCAACTCAACCATGAGTTCTACCTAAACCTAAGCTGTTCACTGTTTGCCAGATGGGCAAACTATTTGGCCAGTTTGCCTGCCAACTGAACCTCCCTCCTAGCAACCAATGACGCTGTACGGGACACACAGATAAAAGAGCAAAAGTATGCAGTTCTTCAAAAGAAAGTCTTGGCACAATATCAGCCACAGTTTTAACATTCAGCTCAAATTATTTATTTTCTTTCCATGAATTCTAAGTTTAAGTCCCTTTTATACATCCTTTTACAGATAAACTTTCTATAGGAAGTAAGATTCTCATGACCATTGCTAAACATTTTTTGAAGAACACTGTATTAAATATTGCCGTTTCCTGAAAATTTAAAAAAAGTTGTCAATCGTTTTCTATTTTTATATTCACAATTAGGTTTCCAGCCATTCTAATTTATACATCTATCATTCAGACACTTGCTTTAAAGCTTGTGGCTAGTGGCTTGATGCAGCAAACATTAACATGGAGGCTCCAGCTGTATCTTCAATTTCAATGTACAGTATCTTCTTCGGGTATGAAACACTAACAGGGTTATTCACAAAAGGGTGAAGAGTTTGGAGAAGGCAGGAGAAGTGAATAATCTGGAACAACATAGTTGAAATGGAAAGTGAGCTGAATTGGAGAATGTTTCCAAATTTGGTGCCATTCATTCTGAATGAAATCTCAATGCACCTTGCCAATGGCCATGTGTTACAGCACAGCACAGCACAACTCTCAGCAATGCATTAATGCGAGTTGCAGCCCAGTGAGCTGCCAGAAGAGGCACATGCCCATTTTCTGCCATGTTGAGGTGCATTTCCAGCGCAATTATCTTTAGGGAACTCATTTTAATGTGCAAAAAACACGTATTACAAAGCATACTTTAATACAACACATATTAACAATGCAGACTAATTTTATGACAAAATGACAACTCTTTCCTGCCCTGAACTTGCCTCTTCTCTCTACAATAACTCACTCTCATCCTGTATGGACGCACTTGCCCCTCTCACCACTCACAGAATCAGGCCACATCCACTACAGCCTTGGCAGACAGATGACACTAGAAGACTCCGAAGACATTGAGCGACAATGGCATAAATCCAAATCCCAGCAAGACACCAAATATAAATCTGCCCTCCAAAAATACAGTAGCTGCCTCGACCCAACCAAACAGACCTATTTTTTTTACTTTTCAAAGTATTTTATTGATTTTTGACATTTTTTCAAAGAAAAAAAAAGATGTAACATTGATACATAAGCGTTTACATAGACATATACATACATTAATGTCTTATGCATGTACATACAATAGTATAACAAAACTGAACTGACAGTCTTGGGACAGCCACCATGGGAACCGATCGGTAGATATGGCAATATATACATATAACATCTCTAAGTGTCTGTCCGAAGAACTTAATGAAGCAAAAAGATCCAGAGGATCTTAAGGTGGGTCTAGGAAAACTGAGCAAAGAGGGAGAAACAGTGGGCAGCAGAAAGAGCGGGGGGGAGGGGAAAAGAAGAAAGCTTCCTACAGGCTTCCGTGGTGAGATCCAAATTTGATGTAGGTAAATTTGGAAAAACCTATCATTAAAGGGTCAAAAGGATGGAGGGAGGAAGTGAGTAACCCACGAGTCCCAGATTTTCTCAAATTTAGGCATGGAGTCCTACATGCGTGCAGAGAGCGTTTCCTTATAAAACGTCCAATGTATTTGTTCTTGACTTCTCCAAACAGACCTATTTAATCACACTCATTAACACCCTCTCATCTAGTCCTCATCATTGCCCAATGAATAAAATTCAGGATAATTTTAAAAACTGTTTTTTTTTTGTTTTTTTTTACTGTACTTTGACTGCTTACAAGCCCCCTCCCCCATGTGATAGCAGATGGTGGTGACAGGTACTCTTTAAGGTGATGCTGGGGGTCCAAAAGACCCCCAGTGTCAGCTTTACACTAGAAATAAGCTATTGAAGTGCAGATTGCACTTCAATAGCTTATAGCTGGGCTGCAGGAGCCCAGAACTGACAGCCCAGGGACCGGAAGTGATGCAATCTGCATAGCTCCCGGTACCATGGAACGGGGAGGGGATCGATGAACGGAAGTTCGTCGATCTCCTCCCCAGCTCCCCGCAGACACCAAGGAAGCCGGTCCTGGGGCCGTAGGAGGGGCAAAGGAGCCCATGAAGCACGGCGGGGTTGTCCGGCGGGGGGCCCTTCTACGGGACAGAGAAGCGATCTGGCGACAGGTAAGTCGCCAGAATCGCATCTGTTGTAAAGCCGACAGTCGACAGTCGGCTTTACAAGTTTAAACAGAGTCCCGGCTTCTGTTTAAACACCCCCGACGCTGGCGATGTACACTGTACGTCGTCAGTCACGAAGGGGTCAAAAGAAAGCACCTGGACGAATTTCGGTACTCGACCACACGTATTTTCATCTGCGCATGTGCAGTGTAAATCATACGAATTTTGACGTACGTAGATGCCACCAACCTTGCGAAAAATTTAGACGTATGTAAGTAAAAAATGTTTATTGTCCTGTCCAGTATTTTGCATAACTTAGATGATAAGGAAGGCCAGTTCCAACCAAATCTAATAATTTAGGTTTACATAATTATAGTAAACAAACTAAAAAACAAATTAATAAAAACTAACTAATACCATTTATCAATGTGTTTTAACTATGTTTATATGGATTCTTTTAGTAGCCAACCAACGGAATTGTGATCACTAGAAGTAGAGATCAAACTACTATAGAACAAACAATAAAAGCTTAATAGCGGACAATGAGCAGATGTAGTAATCATACATAGGTAGTGTTAAAAATGTGTGATTACTCTATACAATGAGGTATTACCTAAATCACTTTTGCAGAGATTAAAAGCAATATCTGAACTCACAAAAATCCAAATACATTAAGCCATAAGGTGAGTTGAATGTCCTGTAAGATAATTGAGAAAGAGGGTGGTCCCCTGAATATACATTACCTGGCAACAGTGATTGAAAATAAAGCTTGGAGCATAAGAATGGATTTGCTGATTCAGTACCAGATAATGTACAATAACACCTACGCCAGGTCCCTTCTGTGGAAGTTGTGCTTACTGTGGTACAGAAGCATTGCCAATGGCCTTGGCTGTCACCTGGCATACTCCCTTCTTCTCCCACGGAAGCATCTTAATGCTGGCAGCATATGGAAACTTGTGAGTAAAACAATTGCTTACAAGATATGCAAATAGGGTGTAAGCACAGTATTAGAATAGGTAGACATAATTATTTTATCATATCTTGAGGGTAAATCAGATGTTAGCTTCTTATACCTATGGGGGGATCCAGCAACAGGATACCCATTACCACACATCTAAGGTCTAGTTCACAGAGGCTTTAGCTTCTAAATTGTAATCTGAAGAGCACAAAAGACATTTAGAAACATTTCAGCAAGCTTACATCAGCTTTCTTAAAAACTCTTAATCCCGGCCATCCACATTGCAATTTTCAGGCAATTCCAATCACCTTCAACATGACTGGTGGAATTAAAGCAACCTGGTATGAGCAGTTTTGGTGGTTTAAAACGGCCGGCCCGGAGCTCTCTAGATCTGAGCGGGCTTCTTTAGGGCTTCTGGGCGCGCGCAAGCGGGAAACGGCCGAAATGTAAAAACAGGTTAAGTTCCCCCCCCCCAAAAAAAATGTAAAGTAAAAAAAATGTTTAAGTCCCCACCCATACATACACGCATGCACGCACGTATTTGCTCTTCCTTTGCCCTGGTGGTGTAGCGGGTAGCCCAGCAGCTGCAGGCATCAGAAAATGCAACCACATCCTCCACAGCCCTATTATATTATTTTTTTTAAATATACTATTTATAAATTATTGCCCTTGCCCAAGCTGGTTAATGATTTAATTATTACTGCCTGGCCTGCCAGTGCCACAAAGTGCCCAGCTCTCACCTGCCTCAGTCTTGTGACAATCTCTGCCTCAGTCAGAGCTTTCCGGATTTCACGTCTGACACTCATAGACGTGTGTGAGGCAGCCGGAAGGAACGGCGATATTGCCACGGGACGTCCACCTGTGAGCTTGCGTGAGACCTATCATGTCACGGTATGCGGGAAGGGGAGGAGCCACACGGAAATGTAGTACAGACTGTACTATGCGATGGCGCCGATCGCATAGAAAAATACGTTATGGCAGTGCAAGTTTCTGCAGGCTCAAGGGGCAGCTGGTTTGGGCCCCACAACAATGACTAGGCCCCGGGCAACTGCCCCTTTTGCCCCGCGTTAAAGACGGTCCTGCTACTATTATATAACAAAAGATCAGAGGGAGAGGGGAGAGTGGGCATGTATCAGAGTAAAGGAGAAAGACCAGAGAGGAGAGCAGGCATGTATAGAATCTGAGGAGAATCAGCATAAATGGGAAGAGAGTTGGAATATATGGGACAGGAAAACAGTGACCATAGAGAGAAAGGACATGGGTGAAAGATGTTGAGAATGACAAGAAAGGGGAGGAAAGTTGTCATGGATAGAAGAGGAGAAGAATGACATAGATTTAACAAGAGTGGGTGTGGATTTAACTATTTAACTAGTGGGTGACTATAGTAGGGATGGGCAAAAGAGGAGAAGAATAAAAAGAGAGGGGAAGAGACTTGTCATGGATAGAAAATGAAGTAAATGACCTAGGCTTAGAGGAAAGGAGAGCGCGAATGATTGAAGAGGAGCAGAATTACCATAGGAGGGCATGCATGGATGAAAGAGGTGGAGAATGATGAGAGAGGAGGAGAGTGAGCATAGATATAAGAGGAGGAAAAAAACAGAAAGTAGAACAGGGATTGATAGAAATTTAGGAAAATAAACAGAGATGGAATTGGAAGAGAACGAGCACAGAGGGGAGCAGAGTGGGCATTGAAAATTGGCTAATTAATGGTGCTCAGAGCATTGAACAATGAGACAAAGCAGCATAGCACTGAATGGTAATACAGACAGTGGTGGAACTACCGCCAGTGAGGGCGGTGCCGCCGCACCGGGGGCCTGAGGCTGTGGGGGGCCCAGTGGGTTCAGGTCCTGGGCACCCCCACAGTCTCAGTGGGGTCCAGTCCTGCAATATGGGGGCAGTGCAGGGTCCCAGTGTTAGAACACCGGGGCCTTGCACTGCCGACGGGCTTCCCAGTGAGAGGGCGGGTCCTGTGACTCACCTCCCCTCCCGGCTGCGTCCATAGTAACAGGCAGCGGGAGGGGAGGTGAGTCACAGGAGACGTGTATGTGTCACACATCCTGCCCCGCCCCCTGCAGTGCACATATCGACACATGGCTGCTGCTATCCTGGCAGGGTGAGTCCGAGCGGGGGAAGGGGGGGGCTCTTACTTCATATAATTAGACAAATGGATTATAATGGGGAATATTACACTGTAATGTTCCCCATTATAATCTATTTCTCTGATTAAATGATTACAGACAGGCCTCTGTTCTATCACAGTGTAGCGCTCACCCCCGAAGGAGCCGCTGGATGATCGGGTCTTCTGTTTCACCTCTGTGACACACCATAAGCAATGAACCCACAGCACATCAGCACACCTTGTGAAGTTTTATAACAGATTTAATGACTATGGAATAGAACAAACACTTAACGGCTCCCCAATCACATGTAATAAAACCAATAACAGGATAAGGCAATCTGTCACGCAGCAGCAATCTATTGCATGCAGGAAAGCCTGCAATGTCAGAATGTCTCATATAATACACTTAGATTGAATGCAATCAACATTAATATCTTTACTTAAAAGTATCTATCCCACTCTAAACTACTGGCCATTAGGACTGTCCTAGGCTAGCCAACGTTGGGGCCCTTGCTGTATAGCAGATGTAGAAAAGTACATTTGTTGCAATGGCCAGAGGCCTCTCACCACTTCCAGTGTTCCTTTGGGAAAAGGAGGATGATTGTCTGTGGAAGGTGAATGTCCCTCTTTCCTCAGACCGACATCTGTGAGATGGACGCAGTCTTCTAAGGCCTCCGGCAGGACATCTCAGCTCGTCTAGGGGCCGTCTAGGGTACCTGGCAATGAACTCAATCAGCTCCGTCGGCTCCACTCACTCTGCTGGGCAGGCTGGATTACTCCGGTGACTGGATCAACCATGCGACCAGGCCTCAGTTCGAGCGCTCAAAACACAGTCTCTCTCTCAGCAGGCGAACATCAGTCTCTCAAAGCACTACTGCATAGAGCCTGTGTGTCCCTATGTGTCAGTGACGACCACACAGCTCTGTAACACGCAGTCTTAAATCACCCTGTAACACAGATCTATCTTCTCCAGATGACTGTCCCAGACTGAGGCTGCTCCGCAGAGGCAACCCATAAACCTCCTGTTTCCTTCCCCACAGCCTCCTGGGAAACGCAGTTCTGTCCTCTTCAGTAGAAATGTATCCATATATCTGCTCTGTACTACAATCTCCACAATCTGTGCTCTCTGGTTCCACCTGCAGCTGTAATATATATTTCCTCTTAAAGGGCTGAAATCACAACAGGGCTACAACAGTTTGAGACTACGTTAGAATGTGTGACCAGTGACGTGGTCACACATTTAAACGTAATCTCGCCTAGTTTTTGGGCGGTGGAATAGGTGAATTCCAAAGCTTTCTCCGCTGTTCCAGGGCAGATCAGCATCGCAAATCGCATGTGCAGGGAACCGATCTGCCCTGGAACAGCTGATCGGTCCTGAAATGTCACTTCTATCCGACTTTGTGAGTGCGCCCCCCCTCGGCTTGGGAGGGGGGCCCAAGATAAAATCTTGCACCAGGGCCCTTTGGTTATTAGGTCTGCCACTGAATACAGATGTAGGACTGAATAAGTACTAAAGAAGGAATTGAGGAAATGATATGTCCCCATTGGTTCTTTCCTCCTTTGAGCATACAGTATGATTAGAAAGAATGGTGAAGGTGGATACCGTCAGTGTCATTTATTCTTAAGGAGAGGTAGATCAGGAAAGGTTTTTTTTTAACTGAGCTGTTGCCTGGTTGGTGTCTTATCACTCTGGCTGGATGAAGCTAATGTTATCTCATCTGTATGGGCTGCTTAATGTACACCTATCAATGCTAAATGCTAATACACTAATTCCAAGACAAATATGCAGGCAAGTATTGAGCACTGATGCATTTGTAGTAGCTCAGTCAAATCCTTCCTATAACATAAATATAGAGGATGGTTTACGATTTGGGTCCGAATAGTAGGTGCCACACCCATAGAATTTAAATTCAACAAGGACAGAAAGTGGGGTTTTGAGAGCACCAAAGGAACTTACTCCACAAAGAAATTCATATAGAAGTGTTAGTTTTAATTAAATTCATTTAAAACAAAAGCTAGATATACAATCCAAATTAAAATCAGCTAATTAGATAGCTCCCTGTGTGCTCTCTCCATATGTACCCTTCCTACAGCATGATTATAACATAACAAAATAAGTGTATAGTTTAGGAAACAAACTGATATTACAGACGATCAAGGATAAGGGATACCAATTCACTAGAAGCTTAAATGCTGTATGGAGTTAGTGGAGGTTCATAAATGGAGGAGCTGATACGACGTTTCGCGCACCCAGGCGCTTCTTCAGGTACAGCAGGTATCTGTGTGATTTGTAAAATATGAAAATCATAGTGAACGTTCTTAATTCTCTTTAGAGTAAAAATATAGTACATAGTCAAATTAACTTTTGCCTACCAATTTATATGCTCTGATGTGTGTATGTGTCTGGGCGGGTCTAGTCGAGCTACGCCCCTGCGTAGTCCCCCCTAAAAATAGGAGGGGTACTATGTCGGTCAAATCCAAATATTGAGTTTTAGGGGTAAGAGAAAGGAAGGAAAAAACAACCTAGAAGAGGAAAAAAGACAAGGGGTATGATGATAATAGGCCACAGTCTAGTTAGATTGGGAAAACATCACTCATAGGTGGAGGAATACTCCTTTCAGTTATACTAAGATGTATATGTATAAGGCACGGCGGCCAACGTATACTTACATGAAAGAGGTGTTTGAGTCAATCAGGCTGATGGCCACACAGTTTGAGGAAGCGAAAAAACGGAAAAGGCATGGACCAAGCAGAAGTCTCTGTCTGCTTGTCTTCCAAAATTAGGTCCTCCGATTACCCCTACGCCACCCACATCTACTACCGCTGCCTACCGGCCGCAGACTGATGTCGGTGGGTCACGCGGGCGCTATAACAGTATCTGGCGCGATGACGTCAGTTAAGTCGTTGCGCCGTCTGGGCATACTCCTCCCACATGATACGCCCCTGGCCGAGAACTAGGAAGAGGGAGGGACCTCTCTGTCTCGGCGAGTAGACCGAGAGAATGATTCAACAAATCATTGGATGATGATAAACAGTCAAACACCATAGGTGGAAGTATAGATTTGGGAGAGAGATGGTCTATATGCCCAGAGGTCTGATACCGGCCGGCCAGAATAAAAGGTTATTGGTAGGCAAAAGTTAATTTGACTATGTACTATATTTTTACTCTAAAGAGAATTAAGAACGTTCACTATGATTTTCATATTTTACAAATCACACAGATACCTGCTGTACCTGAAGAAGCGCCTGGGTGCGCGAAACGTCGTATCAGCTCCTCCATTTATGAACCTCCACTAACTCCATACAGCATTTAAGCTTCTAGTGAATTGGTATCCCTTATCCTTGATCGTCTGTAATATCAGTTTGTTTCCTAAACTATGCACTTATTTTGTTATGTTATAATCATGCTGTAGGAAGGGTACATATGGAGAGAGCACACAGGGAGCTATCTAATTAGCTGATTTTAATTTGGATTGTATATCTAGCTTTTGTTTTAAATGAATTTAATTAAAACTAACACTTCTATATGAATTTCTTTGTGGAGTAAGTTCCTTTGGTGCTCTCAAAACCCCACTTTCTGTCCTTGTTGAACTTCCTATAACATAGATAAGGAAAACTTAGCAAATGACTACCTACATATTGCCACATTAAAAAAAAAACTCTCTCAATAATTACTGTCTAGGTTTGTAGAGCAGTAGAGCAATCAGGGGCATAACTAGAAATCACAGCAAACCATAGCAAAATTTTGTAGGGGCTCAGCCAAAGATGAGTTCACTCCACCACTCACTGCCCACCATAGACCACACACAGACTACCAGAGACCTTGCAGAGCTAACCGGAGACCCCGCACAGCCCACCATAGAGTGACCCCGCACAGCCCACCTGAGAGTGAACCAGCAGAGCCCACCTGAGATCCCACAGAGTCTACCCGAGATCCTGCAGAGACCCCACACATACCAGAAACCCTGCACAGCCTACCTAAGACCCCACACAGCCCACCTGAGAATGACCCTGTTGAGTCCACCTGAGACTCTGCAGAGCCCACCATAGCCCCCCCCAAAGCCCACCTGAGACCCTGCAGAGCCCACATTAGGCCCTGCACAGCCCACCATAGACCCCTAGGTGCCCACCTGAGATCCTGCACAGCCCACCTGGGACACCGCACATACCAGAGATCCAGCCCACCTGAGACCCCACACAGCCCATGTGAGAGTGACCCTGCAGAGCCCACCTGAGACAAGGAAGAGCCAACCTGAGGCCCCACAGAGCGAACCTGAGGCCTGCAGAGCCCACTTAAGACCCCGCACATAGCAGAGACCCTCCACAGCCCACCTGAGACCCCACACAGCCCACCTGAGACCCTGCAGAGCCCACCTGAGACCCGGCAGAGCCCACCTGAGACCCGGCAGAGCCCCACTGAGAACCTGCGGAGCCCATCTGAGATCCCAAAGGGCCCACCTGAGATACCACACAGCCCACCTGAGACCCCGCACATACCAGAGACCCTGCACAGCCCACCTGAGAGTGACCCTGCAGAGCCCGTCTGAGACCCCGCACAGCCCACCATAGACCCTGCAGACCCCACCTGAGATCCTGCAAAGCTCACCTAGGACCCTGCACATACCAGAGATTTAACGTGTTGTTATGCTCTATAGCACATGTGTCAAACTCAAGGCCCAGGGGCCGAATCTGGCCCACCAGGCCATTTCCTAGACTTCTACTTTCAGATCTAGGTATTAAGTTATTACTAAAACCAGTGATAATCGAATGCAGAGGGAATTGTGATAAAGATTAGATACATTTATATAGTCTTACAGGCCCTTTGAGGGAAACCATAATGTTGATGCGGCCCTCGATTAAATTGACACCCCTGCTCTATAGGTTTTAGTGATTTCTATCAGTGATTTTTTTAAATATCCTAATGTCTAAGACACATAGCTGAGCATAAGTCTAGTTTTATATAGTTGATATAGGTGTTTATGTGATAGATCAAGTGAAAGATGAAAGAGGGAATTAGACAGACCGGACAATATGGGTAACTTTAAGAAATTAAGGGTATGTTGACATTCATATAAATATATTCTTGCTTGATGGAAGATCAAGTGAAAGTAGAAGAAGGATACCGGACTGACCAGAAAGTATGGATAATAGAGCAAGCTGACATCACTGAACATTTTTAGATCACGCCCTACAGGTACTTGGTGATATAAAGGCAGGATGTATTGGTAACACAGATTTATCTCTTTAAGTGCATTTGCATTTTTATTCCTGTTTTAAGGCTGCCCTGAGCAAATACTTTGACCTGATGTCCTCAAGATGGCCAAATCTTATGAATGAAGAGGAGGTGATGTAAATCACATCCTGTTCCTTCATTTATAACTGGGGACACATAGTACTATGTGTCCCCAGTTATTTACAAACACTGGAGTGATCAGCCGATCGCTCCAGTGTTTGTCCTGCACAGAGGATTGGTACATACTACTGACACGTACCGATCCTCTGCCGCTCGTCCACGCACGGGGGGCTGCAACTCCTCTGGATCCCCCTGCTCTCCCGGGCAAAGGCAGCGGGGGATACGACGAGCCGCGGGGGGGGGGGCGGAGCCGCTGTGACAGAACGGACGAGCAGTGAGGGGAGAGAGAGGCGCCGGCTGTCAGATCCTGGCCGAGCGTCTCTCTCTCTCTCTCCTCACCGCTCTGCATTAGTTCTGTGACAGCGGCTCCGTCCTCCGCCCTCCCCCGCCGCCGGTTCCTTCACTTCTTCTCGGATCCCCGCTGGGGAGAGCAGCGGGGATCCAGAGAAGCGGCGGGAGGAGAGGACATGGCGATCTACCAGTGATCGCTACGCGATCGACTGGTAGATCGCGATCGACCTTGTGGGCACCCCTGATCTACAGTATATGGGTACTCGGGAGGAAGAAACTCAACCATTTAAAGTTCAGTCATTCTTCCATTTCCTTTATATACTTTATTGGTATCCATAACTCCAAATCAAATAATAACATGAGTAGAAAAGAAACAAATAATAAATATGTGTTTAAATGTTGAAAAAAAATCTTGTGTACCCCTCTTTATTAACTTACTCTGCTTACCCTACTACACTTACTTTAATTACTTGTACCTCCCAATGCCGAGGGCACGTGGCCTAGTAAGGCGCAGGGAGGGGGGGCGCTCGATCGTCCCCCCCTTTCCTGCCCTTCCCCCCAAATTCATACCAGACCCTTTAGGTCTGGTAGGAATGTTAGGAGAATGCCAATTCAAAAGCAAAGGAAAAAAAAAAACTTTAAATAAATATTAGTTGACTTGCACGGGTTTTGAACCTGCAACCTTAGCTATGGCAAGCCTGTTCTCTACCCGCTACTCTATAGCCTCTGTACTTTAAGCATAGATGTGTTGTAGAGGTAAAATGGTGTCATTTTTTTTTTTCATAATGTCATTTTGCTGCAACGATATTCGTCCAATAACGAATTTTGGGAAATCGGGAATTTCGGATTCGTTTGCATTCGTCTTAGCTGTAATTCGGAATTCGGATGCATCCGAATCTCCGAATTTCCGAAAATTCGTCCGAAAGGTCCTGTTGTAGTGCAAATATCTCCTGTTTGGAGTTTACTGCTCTGCATAGTTTAGTATCATCTGCAAAAAACTAAATTGAGATATTTAGTCCAATCTCTATGTCATGGATGAAAAAGATGAACAGGATCGGTCCCAGGACTGAAATGCACATTTGGATATGTTTGCAAATTTTCAAAGTAATACTCTTCACATTTTTTTTTTTCTGTAAAAGAAAATATATGTTTCCTGTAGCATGGGATAAAACATAAACCTTCTAATCACTTTGGTGAAAAATTGCTCATTAAATTGATTGAGGTTTGATATTTGTCATTGTTTTAACAAGCTTGTTATTTAACAGATGACACAACAGCCAAAAACGTAGCTGACATAAACAATTTATATATATTAAAACAGGCAAACATCATAAATACGTAATGCCACTGACTAAACCAAATATATATATATTAATTTATCATGTTAGTCAGCAGTCTTTAACATTTTGCTGCACTGTCCATAATGTCAGAGAGTGTAATTGAAACCTACAGAGACAACAAATTCCCCTCATAATGGCTGGTGGTAGTAGCTAGGAGTTAAGGCACAGACATTGTAGCAATGGACTGAACCAGGCTTGGACCTACCAAGCTGTCTAGCAATGAGCCTACCCAAAATGGAAATGTCATAGCTGTGTGGGTTTAATCGCATTATGTACTTTTCATGTTAGATATAAATCTCCAAGCTAGGTCAGTATGACAAACGGCTCTAGTAAGAATTTACTGAACATTTATTGTTATTTAAACATTTGGTCCCACCAGCACGCATAAAAATAGGCATATGCCTGGGAGCACATTAACATTAACACCCCGGCTTTCACTCAATTTCTTAAACCAAACCTCTTCTTTTGATCTAACACAATGGTCAGACACTCCTACTCACTCTGATGGTAACATACTAGATCTTGTTTTCCCTCACCTATGCACTCCTTGCAACCGGTCCAACACCCCTTTCCGGCTCTCTGACCACAACCTTGTCAGTTTCACACTCACCCTGTCCCCAACCCTGAATCCCCCTACACGGCACACTGTCACCTGGAGAAACCTTCGCCACCTCAACCCTTCTCTTCTCTACTCTGCTACTGACTACCTCTACGACAAAATCTCACCCATGTCCGGCCCAGACCTGGCTATTTCTGTCTACAACATCTCACTTTCATCCTCTATAGACACTTTGGCTCCCTTCACTATACGCAGACTTAGACCACATCCACTACAACCGTGGCAAACAAAAGAATCCAGACATCTAAAAAGACATAGCCTGCAAGACTTCACCCTGTATAAAGCTGCCCTACTAAAATATAACTCCTTCCTCCATGCTGCCAAACAGACCTCGTCAACTCTTTTCTACTTTTAACTCTTTACTATGTCCACACCGCCATCACCCACTAACTCATTCACTGCCCAGGACATTGCCATCCATTTCAAAAACAAAATAGATACAATGCGGGATCAGATCGCCACGGTGCAGTCACCTTCCCCTATTCATGTACCAGACCCTCCATCACCTTTGTTACTTTCCTCTTTTGACCCTGTGACCACAGAGGTGGTTACAAAGCTTCTCTCTGACACCCACCTCACCACTTGCCCCTGGACCATGTTCCCTCACCACTACTTCGGTCACCCTCTTACTCTATCCTACACTCTCTTACTCACATTTTTAATTCTCTCACTCTCTACTGCCATCTTTCCCTCGCCTCTAAAGCATGCCCTGGTCACCCCAATACCCAAAAACCCCTCAATGGACTCTACCGACCTCAACAATCGCAGACCAATCTCCTTACTCCCATTCACCTCCAAACTCATAGAACGCCTTATCTGCAGCCGCCTGAGCCGCCATCTCGCTGATAACAGCCTTCTCCACCCTTTACAGTCCGGCTTTCGCCCCCTACACTCCACTGAAAATGCCCTCCTAAATCTAACTAGTGACTTACTAACAGCTAAAAACAATTGCCACTATTCCTTACTCTTGCTATTAGACCTTTTTGCTGCTTTTGACACTGTTGACCACCTGCTCCTCTTAAAAAAACTCTGCTCGCTTGGCCTACAAGACTCTCATGGTTCTCCTCCTACCTATCTAAGCGCTCCTTTAGTGTGACCTACAAATCTAACTCCTCTCCTCCTCTTCCTCTTTCTGTAGGGGTCCCCCAATACTCTGTCCTTGGATCCCTTCTCTTCTCTATCTACACCTCCTCCCTTGGTCTGTTAAAAACCTCACATGGCTTCCAATACCATCTCTATGCCGATGACACTCAAATATATCTTTGTACTCCACAACTCACCCCCTCAGTGTCCTTGCGTGCCACTAATCTACTAACTGACATATCAGTCTAGATGTTGCAACACTTCTCAAAAACTGAGCTCATGATATTTCCTCCCGCCTCTGCACCTTCCCCCAACTTTTCCCTTGAGATTGTTAACACAACTATCCAACTCTCCCCCTATGCCAAAGGTGCTAGCTGTCATCCTTCACTCGGACATCACCTTTCTTCCTCACATCCAATCACTATCCAAATCCTGCCGCCTTCACCTTCGTAACATCTCCAAAATATGCCCCTTCGTCACCAATGAAACAGCAAAATTACTCATCCACTCACTTGTTATATCTCGTCTTGACTATTGCAACTCCCTCCTCATTGGCCTAACTTAACACAGGCTATCCCCCCTTCAGTCTATCATGAATGCAGCTGCTAGACTCATTCACTTAACCAACCGCTCAGTGTCTGCAACCCCCCTCTGTCAATCCCTACACTAGCTTCCAATAGCCCAAAGGATAAAATTCAAAATATTAACAACCACTTACAAAGCCATCCACAACTCTGCCCCCGGATATATCTCAAACCTTGTCTCAAAGTATCAGCCTAACCGTCCCATGCGCTCTTCAAAAGACCTTCTGCTTTCCAGCTCCCTCATCAACTCCTCACATGCTCGCCTACAGGACTTCACTAGAGTCTCTCCCATCCTATGGAACTCTTTACCCCAACCTGTCTGACTATCTCCCACTTGGACTGCCTTTAGGCGATGGTTTAAGACTTATCTTTTCAGAGAAGCCTATCCCATCTCAAACTAACAACCCACTGAACTATCACTTTCTCAAACAATTAATCCCCACACATCTACCTCTTCATGTATCACTTCCCCCTCCCTTTTAGATTATAAGCCCTTACAGGCAGGGCCCTCCTTAGCATCTTGTCTTGAATTGTATTGTGATTGTAATGTCTTCCTTATATTGTATAGCACTGTGCAAACTGTTGGCGCTATATAAATCCTGTATAATAATAATAATAATTATAGATTGGAGTGTGGGCCTCTGAATAATTATAGCCATATTTTAATCCTTGTCCTAAAAGAACAGAAATTGCTGTGAAACGCATTGACATGGGCTCAGATATTGCATGTTGTTTATTGCAATTTCCACAATTGCTCACTATAATACATATATAGATGTGTACACCTAAAGGGCCTTTTATGAATTACTGTTTATGGTTAAAAAAAATGTATGTGCTTTAGAAATACATTTCTGGAAATTTTATATAATATCTTTAATGGTTTCTCAATGCTACATTTAGGTTTTTTGGATCTTTAATAATTTCACAAACTATAAGATGGTACCATATGAGATCTAGACATGCTTTTTAAGATACAGTGTCCAACTGCTTTTGTTCTTTATATTTTGTTTCTCAGGAGAGTTAGATTCTGCTGGGCATTGCACACTGCTTTAACAGATTTGGGAGACATCACAGATTGTTTTTCCTGGGAGATAAAACAGTTTTGTATGTCAGCAACAACTTCAGTTGCTGTTTGGCTGCTGTAACTCTTCTTGTTATATTTTTTGGAGGTGCTTTTTCCTTTCACATTTTCATTTTTTTTGTCTTTCAGTTAGGTTAAAAAAAGGGGTGGGTCCAATAAAAAATACGGCCTAGTCAAAGTGTTTAAAGACTGTGCACATACTAGAATATTTTGGGGGCTTTTTAGTGAAATGAATACACTCTAATTATTTTTTTGTATAAATAGCTGGGTCCTGTTCAAAATGTGGCCTGGTACTTAAATACTATGTACATACTCAATGTAATATTTTGGTGAATTTTTTCATTGAAATAAATTATTTTTAAATTAAAAAAAAAAATCATTTTGGTCATCCTTAATAATAGCAATAATCATTACAAATTATTAACAATAATAATAATTGACGTTTAGATTTCCTTTCCCTTTAACAATGGTGATTCTAAATCCAGCAAACACAATGCTACATTCCAGTAAAGTGCAGCTAATAAGATTCGAATGATTGTTTTGACAATGTAGGCGTGTTGCTAGTCTGCCTTCTATAAATTTGAAGAGATGATGTTACAAAACAAAACTCATGTGGTCATAATTTTTTACACGACTCTTTACAATCTGTTCAGGTATAAAAGCAGTATAACAGATCTTTGGATCATCAAGTCCTTGGAAAGACCTCCATTCAACATAGCCTGTGCATATCATCTTTGTGACAGAAAGGATCCATTATGTCTCATCACTCTATCCTGGCCTTTTCTGGAAAACCACACTTCAGTTCTTCTGTTGCATTACCCAAACATTCTGGCTCCCACTGTTTCTTCTCACACTCTTCTAAACAATTTGGACAAGGTCACAATACCCACCATTGTTATAGCAGCAAGAGTGCCCATAATATTGGATCAAAAGGATCCAAGATGTCAGTAGGAAGTTTTCATTTAGGTAAAGCTGGGCATGGTCATGGACATGGATTCGGTCATGATTTTGGGGGATCATATGGTTCTGGAGGCATTACCCCAGTAACTGTCAACCAGAGTCTTCTGGCTCCTCTCAACTTGGAGATAGATTCAAACATCCAAAGAGTGAGAACTGAGGAGAAAAATCAAATCAAAGGTCTCAACAATAAGTTTGCTTCTTTCATTGACAAGGTAAGAGTGTTTACTGAACAACAGTAAATACGTTAATTTTCATTTTCTTGATGCTCCAAGGATTTCAGATAAGTGTTTGTCTAGCAAAGACCTTATATGGTGGATATACAGAAATCCTAAATTTGACATGGTTTTATCTCTATGTTGATACTTCTAGGAAACATGAGCAGCTGTAAATTTATTTTAAAAGTGGTAATAAATCTGAATTGTTTGAGAGAATTACTTGTATTATATAAATATTTGTACAAATAATTTTGAGTGGAGTTTTCTAACATGATATAATGTTGTAAAAAATGAAAACAGACTCATCACCCAGTAACATTATTTTTAACATAGATCAATGTATGACCACATACGATGCAATTTTGATGTAAAATAAGACCATATTGTGCTAGTTAGTTGGAACACACAAGACACACTGAAATTTATGTCTGCTACCTCTCCCCATAATATACCCCAATATGGACTTGCTGGACATTTGCCCCAGTTTTTCAACAGCTCTAGAACATAGAATCTCTTTGATTCGTCAGACATCTGGGAATGTAACTGTCGATACTAATAATACAATGATCACAATACCATACAAATATCACTTTGAGGCAAACCACTATCTTATTAGTATTTTGCTAACTGTTATGTAGTATTACAAGACTATTGTACTTCAGTACATTCTTGTTACAGGTGAGATTCCTGGAACAGCAGAACAAGATGCTGGAGACCAAGTGGGATTTACTACAAGAGCAGAAGACAGCCCGGTGTCAGATTGAACCTTTGTTTGAGGCTTTCATTGGCAATCTCAGAAGACATCTGGATAGCCTAGAATGTGAGAGTGCTCGGCTAGAAGCAGAACGGAGCAGCATGGAAGACATGATGGAAGGATTTAAAAGAAAGTAAGTCAGTTATTGTTAGTTTGCTTTCATTTAAAAAAAAAAAACATAAAGTATAGTGTGTTTTGTTGTCAGATATGAAGAAGAAATGAACAGGCGCACTGCCGCAGAGAATGAATTTGTCCTGCTGAAGAGGGTAAGAATGTAATTACTGCTGCTATTTCATTTATGCAGCACAAAGATGTTCCAGATGTAAAATAATACAAAAATAAAGGCCCCTGAATGTCATGTAATTTTGGGAATAATACATACCCTACTAAAAAAAGATAGCATAATAGAGGTGACCTTGAGGTTTTTCAGCTTCCATTTATACATTTCCACTGAAAGGTCATGTTTATCATATGGTCTCCTCTAGCACATCTAATATATTGAGGAGCATGTACACACTTTTCTTTAACCTTATGTTAAGAAAAATAAAATAAAACATATTTGTAAAAACAACTCCTAGCCCAGCACCTCCCACATTTTACTGGAAAGGTGTGTGTGGCATGCTGCCTAGGATTGGGGGCACTGAATTGTTAGGGAGCCTAATAACCTTCCTTGCATATACGTGCTGGGTTCCCCCAGCATGTTTAATGCCTCAAGTTAAAAAAAAAAAATCTACCCATGCAGCGGAGCTATCCCTGCACTGTAAGGCTAAACTGTTCGCTTTTACCTAGGGGACTTTTGTAAAGCACTTTTACTTACCTGATCCCAGCTCCTGTTGGCTCCAAGACCAGCACTATAACATAATATCAGAAATGTAACATAGGCAATGCAACCAATATGACCATTCCACCACTGTAGTTTATCTCTTAAACAAGTGAGCACCATAAAATATCTTGGATAAGAAACCATTGTTGCTATGTGCAAGCTATTATAATTTATGAATATAGTTCTTTGCTAGAGCTGGCAAAAAGCATTTTTTTAATGGCATTAATTATTTAAGCTTTCTGTATGCTCGCTTTTGAATATATCATTTATTTTTTTGTTCTCAACACAAATCTAACTGATGTTCATTTTAGGATGTTGATGCTGCATTTATGAACAAAGCTGAACTACAAGCAAAGGCTGATGCTTTGACCGATGAAATTAGCTTTCTGAGGACACTGTATGATGCGGTAAAAATCTATTAACCTATTGCTAAAAGATTATTCTCTTATATTGATTTAAATTTCCAGTATTAATGATTGGTTACTATCCACTCTGCAGGAAATCAGTCAGCTCCAAGCTCAGATCTCAGACACTTCAGTCATTGTGTCTATGGACAACAGCAGAGACCTGGACTTGGACAGCATTGTTGCTGAGGTCAGAGCTCAGTATGAAGAAATCGCCAACAGAAGTAGAGCTGAGGCAGAGTCCATGTACCAGTCAAGGGTAAGTCTAAAAAACTAACTGCCTGGTACACAGCAAGCTCCTCATACAGCATGAATACCGATGTTAGGAAGTAAATAACATATCAATGCTTTTTTCTAGTTTGATGACTTGCGCATGGCATCCGGCAGAAATGGAAATGATCTGGAGAGCAGTAGAAATGAGATCGCTGAGCTGAATCGAGCAATTCAAGCGCTTAAGGGAGAAATCGTATGTGCCAAATCACAGGTAAAATTAGATTTTTTTCCAGATGAAAGAATGGTGGAATATTAATACATTTCCTCAACTGGTCTAGAATTTAACCATCATACCTGGACTGCCCTGATCGCAATCCTGAGAAGGAGATCTGTGAGAAATGTGAGTGCACAGAGTGTGGGGAACAACTCTGCCCCAGAGTTTCCCTCTACTCCCCAAAGCCACCCTACGATCCCTCAGATTCTTCCAGCTCTCCTCTCTCTATTAGAGCCACACATGGCCCCTATGTTAAATACCCCCACAATGTAGCTCAAACATGGGCATTTTTTTCATTCCAGTGACACCACTGACGCAGGGACTTTTTATTCTTCGAATGACAACACCAACACAAGGACTTTTTTACATTTAAACATTATTATCCCCACCACCTGTTCTGCCCAGGGAGGGAGGAAGCAGCTTGGCATCTTTGTCCTGGGTGCTGAATGACCCTGTCTATATAGGGCATTTTAAATAAATATTTTATATATATATATACACACACACACCTATTTTGTTGCCTAATTCTATGTCATAAAACTTTGAATGGAATATACACTTTCTCATTCCTCTCCCAATTCCACCCCTACTCCCCCTCCCAGTAACAGCACTATGCACTGCAAGTTAGCCTAACTGACTCAAATTGCACAAGCTTCAAGTCTGATTTATGCTGTGGATGTTTACCAAAAAATAAAATATATGATACTTAACTGGTAAAGGGGTGTTTTTGTACATTTACCTGGCTTTCTCCTTCAAAGTGACCCTATCGCCATAGTAAATATTTTAAACCCAGTCATGCCTGTTAAAGGATTCTTTGAATACTTACTTGTCTCATTGCCAACACCACTGAATTCTGCTTCAATGCTGGGAAATTTTCTTCGAAAATCTGAAGGGTAACTGACACTTGCATGAGTGTCAAACTCCTATGTCCCCTGTAGCTCTCAGTAGTGGTTGTTCCCTCTGACCTTCAGTCATTATATGATACAGGAGTGATGAGTCAGCAGGAGAAACCACTAAGAGCTGTAGGGGACCCAGGAGGTCAACACTCCCAGAATTTTCAGTGCAGATTTCAATAGAAGAGTTCTGAAGTATGAAGAGGTGTAAAGCAACATGGGCAACAGGAAAGGTGAGCATGTTCTGTCTTTTTTTCACAGGTATTTCTGGTTTTACAGTATTTACTAAAGTGACAGGGTCCCTTTAACTCAATAACGTTCCGAGCAGTAGATCTACACTACATCTATGTTGGGTGTCATGAGAGTATGAATTATTGCTAGTGGATAGTTGCCCTTTACTGCAAACATGCACAATCCCAGAGACTACATACCAATTGCATTCTGTCACCAACGGTCATAATAACAGTGAAGCGATTGGCAGCCAGACGCACAAAAACACCAGAGACTGTAGACATCCTTCAGGAGATGGTCAGAGGTTGTGAATTTGTACAGGTGTGGTGGGAGACAGAAAAAAATGCTTCAGGAGACAGTCATGAGACTTGGGACTATTACACCACAGCCTCTCTACAAACCAGCAATCCCACTCCTTCTACAGACTGCTGGGATCTGAGGGCAGCACAGGAACCAAAAGGAAGCAGGTTGGGTAGTGGGGCAGTTGTATCTACAAGATCTGACAGCTCTCCCTTAGAGTGGTTAGATTGTGCTTGGGCACATAATGGCCTTAAACTCAAACTTCAACTATCAAAGGAATTAGTTTGAAACTTAGATGTTTGTGGGAAAATGTGTGTCAAACCTTTTAGAGGAACAGTATATTAGTCTCCTGTTTATTTATAAATGTTTTAATTTGTCCAGCTAAACACAAAGGCCATAAGAAAACTAGTGTCCTATATATATAACTTTTAGCTTCTACACAATCAATACTTTTTTGTATTCTCCTAGCGTGCTGCACTGGAAGCTGCCATTAATGAGGCTGAGGAACGTGGTGAGGCTGCTATCAGGGATGCCAAGCATAAACTGGCTGAACTGGAGGCTGCCCTACAGAAGGCCAAGCAGGACATGGCTCGCCAACTGAGAGAATATCAGGAACTGATGAATGTCAAACTGGCTCTGGATATCGAGATTGCAACTTATAAGAAGATGCTCGAGGGTGAGGAGCACAGGTGAGTGTGTTATTATTCTACTATTGCAGGTAAATAGATTATACAGTATATGCTTTTACATGTAACAAAATCCTATCACATGTCTAGATCAAAAGATCACCAATTTGTAGAAATTGTTTTCATTCATGCTCACTAACCATTAGTAGTATATTGGCTCCTCTCATTTAAATCTCCAGCGCTATGATTAAAGGCTACAAAGGCTTTGTAGCTCATATTTAAAATGGTTGCACCCAGTATGACTTTAGAATGAATCCAAACACTTTATCTAATTATTAACTTCTGCATGTCCAGATGCCCTTTTCTGGTTGCAGACAATCATCAACACAGACTTTGATCAGAATACATATTCATGCAGCTATATCCTGTAAATAGCTTCTTTTTTTTTTTTTAAAGCTGTACCTTTTATCTTTCAATATGTTCATTGTTTTTAATACAATACAAAAGACTCAACACATTATAATCACATAGCAAAGCCATGTCAACTGAGGGCCGGTGTTAGACTATTTTGCGCCCTAGGCAAGACCAGCTACTTGCACCCCCCCCTCCCGTGGCGCAACCCCCAATCCCCCCGCCCTGCGCAGCCCCATTCTCCTGCGGGTTAGCTTCTGCAGGCAACCGGTGGATGTAATTTAATTTAAAATAGCCAATAGCAGACTGACTATTGAAACCCCACCCACTGAGCAGAGGAGTGAACCTGAGAAAGTTGTCTCTTAGTTACGCTCCTCTGCTCAGTGGGCAGTTTTTTTTGGAAATAGATGGGGGGGCGCCGGGGGGGGGGGAATGGTCAAGGCTGAGCACTAGGCAGCAGTGCGCCCTAGGCGGCTGCCTAGTTTGCCTAGTGGCAGCACCGGCCCTGTGTCAACCTATTAGATATCCACTACCCAGAAACATTTAATGTCATCAATCAGCACAGAGTATGCTCGATACAGCTGTACCTTTTATCTTTAAAAATCAGTCCTGAAAGTGGCTGTGCCTTGGCTCAGAGAAGTAGATGCTGACAGTACAGGATGTCTGAACAAAGACTGTGTAATGCCAAAAACATAGTGAGAAAGGGAGATGAAGACATTGTAAAGCGGATTTCTGATTCTGTTTAGAAGTAGTAAATACTGGCAACGGCTGCATACACACTACCTTTTAGACAGGTCTGCTTTAAAAACACATTCATTTATTTAAAACAAAATAATATAACATACATTGCTATACATGTTTCATCATAAATGTTATATTTTGTTTCAGATTGACTTCAGATGGCAATGTGAATATCTGTAAGTAAACAAACTAATAAAACATTTTTAGTTTAAAGAGACCCTGTCACCAACCTAAAAAAATGTTTATCGTTTTAATTTCAAGGAACAATGCATTTACTTTTTGGTATTCTTTCATTTTCTTTAGCAATCCTGCACTCTAGCCATGGGGGTAAACCACATTCAGGAGGAATGTCCCACGGAGGGCGCCATCATCTTAAGGGCAGATTCAGCTCAAACAGTGGAAGAAGCCACGGTCATGTTTACACAAGCAAGCACCATTCCAGCCATGGCCACTGCTAATAGAATAGGAATATAGATATATTGTATTCACTATTAATAGTGCATTTAAAACTGCTACTCTATTTCTCTATTCTGCTGTATTGCTCTTCTGCTGTTGCCGTGTACTACATTTAGAAGCTTCATGCTTGCATTGCCATAAATACAGCCAGGCCTTGTGTTGATGGGCTTTTGTTCACGTCATAGTTGCTTCTGTCCCCTTACAAGTCAATTTGAATGCAAAACCATTTTAAAGCGTGTTAATGCAGCTTAGAAGGAGATCAAATGTAGGTCAGGAGGAGGTGAACTGCAGGTCAAATGCACCTGTCCATGTATTCTGAATGATTTCAGTATTGGCTTAACTGGATGTTAAATGCTAGCTGAAGGCACCTAGAAGCTAGCTGCACTTGCTTATCACAAGCCCATAGCCCACCAACACAGGCCCTAGTATTGTTACCTGTTTCTCAATAAACTGTTGTTTACAGATTTGTGCAAAAGCTTGTTTCTTTTCTTTTAAAACATTTGTTATTGGTATCCAAAGGGTTTTCAACAAACAGTAAAAAATATAAGAGCAATATATCTAAGTACAACAAATACCTTCTAATGCAGTATGCAATACCATTTGGTCCATATTTCAACCAAACAAAAGAACACAAAATAGGGAAAAGGACTTCTGTCCTTGATGATGTCAGTGTCCACATGACATGTTGCTGATTTATTCTGAAGGACAGAGACTCCAATTATATGGGCTACAATTCTTTCTCTAGTTTAAACTATGCTTCCTTAGACATGCATAAACTTTCATAGTAAAAATTTGCAACGCTAAATTAAATATATGAACTGGAGTACAATTATGTATTAATACAATACTGCATAAATGTAAACCCCTAAAATACAATATATTTGGAAAAGGACAAAAACTCATACAAAATGCAAGCAATGCAGTTCAGTGAAAAGTTTAAAAAGAGATTTTCAGTTTGTGATAACGGTGATGCCTATATTTATTCACCAACGTTTATTTCCGTGCTCTATCATTCTTGTTATCACATATGCCAATCAGCCATAGCATTATGACCATTGAGAGGTGAAATGAATAATGATGATTATCTCGTTACGATGGCACCTGGAAATTACACTTTCTTGGTGCTATAGCAGCACCAAACTCCTCCACTTGTCTGATCATTTGGTTGGTTCCATTACACAACAGCCTGGTCTGATGAATCACATTTTCTTTACATCATTTAGATGGCTGAGTGCGCGTGTGGCTTTCCTGGGGGAACAGATGGCACCAGAATGCACTATGGGAAGAAGACAAGCTGACAGAGGCAGTGTGGTGCTTTGGACAATGTTCTGCTGGGAAATCTTGGGTCCTGCCATTCATGTGGATGTTACATGTACTACCTACCTAAACATTTTTGCTGATGAAGTACACCCCTTCATGGAAACAGTATTTGCTGATGGCAGTGGCCTCTTTCAGCAGGATAATGTGTCCTGCCAAACTACAAAAATGGTTCAAGAATTGTTTAAAAAACATATTCAACGGGTTTGAGGTGTTAAATTGGCCTCCAAATTCTCCAGATCTCAATTCAGTTGAGCACCTGTGGGATGTGCTGGAAAAACAAGTCTGATCCATGGAGGCCACACCTTGCAACTTATAAGACTTTTAAGGACTTTCTGCTGACGGCTAGGTGCCAGATACCACAGCATACTATCAGATATCTAGGGGAGTCCATACCTCCACAGGTCAGGGCTGATTTAGTGGCAAAAGGGAGATCTATTCAAAATTAGGCAGGTGGTATAAACCACGGGAAACAACAACCACGGGAAACAACAACCATATGGGTGCAGTACACCATCTCCCCCAGATAGTAATTTCTTTATGATGAAATGCTTCCCCAACTGTAAAACACTCCCTGTCACAAACAACTTATTGTCCCAGTTTAACCTCCTGTGAACTTGCTGCTACCTACACCTCTACATTCCTTCCCATGCTGTTTTGTTGTTTTCTTTTATTCTGACGGCAGCAGCACTCAAAAAATGCAGATAGCAAGGGAAGCATTAGCTTCTTTGCTATCTGCCATCATTTCAGGGGGGTGCTCTCTTCCTTGTTATTGCAGGGGGGGGGAGGCGAACAGAGGGTGCCATACAGGGGGCAGGCGAACAGAGGGTACAACACACAGGGACCATGGGGAACAAAAGTAGCCACCATCCAGAAGGAAGGACAGTGTCAGCACACATACAGCACATACAGAGATGATTTGAGGATCTACACCTGAGTGATACACAAATAAACACTACTGTCACTAGATTGCACTGTGGGGCATAGGAGATTCCTATGCTTCTCACCTCCATCTAGTGGAGATAGTCCCAGATAGCAAGGATAACTTGCCACAAACCTGTGCCAGGGTTAAATTGTAATTCTTTCTAACTTGCTGCACACATTCCTGGCAAGTTGTAGACTTGCAGAACACTTGCAGCACAAGTTCTAGTTGACACTTTTTGAATTTGAAGCAAATTTGCTTAGCAAGTCTACAGCGAGTCCTGCAGGTCCTAGCAAGAACTCTGCAAGCTCGCTGGTCTGGAGACTTGCAATGCAGACTTGCTGTAATTGTGCAACAAAATTGTGAAGTTTGGCAAGTCTGCAATAGTTTAGCAAGTCATTTTCAATCTTGCAGCTCAATTGCTTGCTATCTGGGAGTGCTGCACAAACGGCATTTGCCCAGCTATATGCGGCCCACAATTAATTTCTCTTATTTGTTCCCTTTTGGCTTGTTAAATATACAGTTGGAATTGTTTTTATTGTATCTGTTCAGTTACTGCAAAAAAAATACCTGTTGATCCTGCTAAAAAAACCTTGTCAGCAGATAACCTCCTGTGCTCTCTGCTTCTGCTGACTGTTATCAGTTACATTGTTCTCAGCAACAACTGTAGAGTACTAAGAGTACACTTACCTTTTAACCACCTCCCATCTATGGCCTATCTGAACGGCCGGACGGTGAAATTAAAACAGCCAGAGATGGCTGTTTACATTCAGGCGATCGGGTGTCTCTAGAGGTGTGCCGCCTCCCCCAACCCGTACCGCCGCCGCTGTCGGTCCCGAGATCCGCTGTGCCCGGTGTGGCTGGGACCGGCATGGCGACTCTCTTACTGGAGATCAAAGGGATATCTGTACACGATCTCCCTTTGATCTCCTCTCTGGTCCCCGAATGTAGGAAGTGATGTATATTACATCACTTCCGCATTCAGTGTCACTCTCCGGCGGCAGATGCCGGTGCGAAGCTGCTGAAGCAGATCTCTGCTTCATCAGCTTCTCTGGGGGTCCCTAGGTGACATTAGGGGTCTTGGAGACCCCTGATGTCTCCATAAAGAGGACCTGTTAAGTGAATTGGCTATCACATAGGGGGTTTCTAAGCCCCTTATGTGATAGCAATAAAGTTAAGTGTAAAAAAAAAGTTTAAAAAAATGAAAGCATAAAAAAAATAAAGAAGCTTTCAAAAATAGTTACAGATAAAAAAAAAGTAAAATAACACAATTTTTTTGTTAAGTCCCCCACCACCCCCACATACACACGCAAACATGCGCCAGGTGCGCCTATGTGCAAAAACGACGCTTCCACCTATTGTGCCGCACATGTTACATATCGCATATCATATTTCAGGTGGGCGCAATTTTAAGACTTGACATGTTTGGTGTCTATTTACCCGATGTGACCCTGTCTTTTATATTTTACCAAAAAATTGGGGTGATAATAAATGTTTCATAACATTTCATAGGGAAACAGGTTTTTTTTTTTCAAAATTTAGGGTACTTTTTTGATATATAGTAAAAAATTAATTAAATACAACCAAAAGAAAGCTCTATCTGCCCCCAAAAAACGGTATAACATTTGTTTCAGTACAGCATTGCATGACTGAATAAACGTCAGTCAAAGTACCGCAGCGCTGAATACTGAAAAATGGCCTGGCCAGGAAGGGGGTTCAACACCCTGGTCTTCAAGTGGTTAATGAATCAGACACTTTATGTGGTTTGCTCAAATATGTTGGCAGGCATTATTCAGGGATACTAAACACACATCCAGAAGAGGGATAATTGACATACTTCCATAAGAATTCCCATTATGAACATATGGAGCATGTTGTATGAAACATGTGAAAGTCATAATAAATATGTTACAGTCTTGACTATATGAGTATACTCACAGAAAATACAATATACTACAACTAAACTATATACAAAATCCAGGTTGCATGTTAATATCTATGTCCGGTCTGTGCTATCCAACAAGAATAGCGATTATTGTAAGTAAACCAGAAATGTATCTTCATGGATTAATATTAAATTGCCTAATAATGTGCACTGCCTAATCTTGTGACAACAGATCCTTTGTAAGGGAGTTCAACAAAGCTATTTCGGTATTTACCCAAGTCATGCTTTTGGCTTGTAGGTTAAGTTCATAGGAATGTCTGCGGTTAGAACCTTTTACTAAAGAAGAACTCCAACCTTAATAATTAATTTAAAAAAATAGATTATAGGCAAAGGGAATAGGCACAGTTTTAATCAGTTAACTTTACCAAGCAACATTTTTACCTGCTTTCAAATTCGATGAATCTTTATTCGCAGGAACAAATATTTTTTAGCAATGCTGATCCAGCATTTATGGAACAGAGACTGAGCCATACGCATCTCCCCACCTGGCTCTTAGCAAACTGGGACACGCTGGCCACCGTCCCACGTTCATATACATCTCCCC